CAGAGATAACATAGGTATTTCACTTTAGTATATACTAACCTTGTCTTTACTAAACCAGACAGGATTTATTTCTAGGCTCTTGTAATTACTGTCATCCTAGCCTGAAGCTGAAGTTCTCAAAAGCTGACCCGAGGCTCAAAATTCTCAAGCCAATCTGGGACTAAAGTAATCAAGCTGGTCTGGGACTGAAAATTCCTGAAAACCCTCTCATCCAAAGACCCTCCCTGGTAATCAAGATCTAAGAAAAAGATGCACCCAAAAAAATGGACTTCCTCGTTCTAAAAATTATGACTGTTTATACCTAAACAAAACAGACATCATGTTTTATGATTATTGTTCCTATACTTTAAATGCCTTACCTTTTAGAGCAAAATGTTTCACTTACTTCCCCTCACCCATCCCACTGCCGTAAAACTCCTTCTATAATAAATATGCATGACTTCTGGCCATCAGGGCTGCAGTCTGGAGTTTACTCTGGCTGTAGCCGGCTAAGAACATGCTAAGGGCATGAGGTCTTAGTCTGATTCCTGTTCACCCACGTCACCTCCTTGTGCACCCACCCCGGTTGGGGTATGGCTCCCAGCACTCTACCATAAAGTGCAGTTGGTATATGTTAGGTGGAAACATACAATGTCTCTCTTTCATAGCCTGACTTGCTTCACTCAGCAACAAATCTTTCATATTTGTCCACTTTCTATCAAATTCCAAGGCCTTGTTTTTTTTATGGCTGAATAGTATTCCAATGGCCAAAAAGCATATGAAAAAAAATGCTCAATATCCCTCACTGTAAGGAGATGCAGATCAAAACCACAATGAGGGACCATCTAACCCTAGTCAGAATGGTGAAGATTAAACAAACAAATAATGATATGTGCTCGCAGGGATGTGATGAAAGGGGAACACTCCTACATTGTTGGTAGGAATGTAAATTGGCCCAGCCACTGTAGAGAACAATATGGAGGTTCTTCAAAGACCTTCAAATAGAACTATCATATGATCCAGCAATTCCACTTCTGGGTATCTACCCAAAGGACAGGAGAGCACTGCATTGAAAAAGTGCTTGCACATCTATATTCATTGCAGCCTTATTCACGATTGCTAAGACATGGAACCAACCCAAATGTTCACAAACAGATGAATGGATTGAAAAACTGTGGCACATATACTCCATGGAATACTATTCAGCCATAAAAAAACAACAAGGCCCTTCTTTTTTTTCTTATGTTAAAAAAACAGATTTTTGTCTCGTTTGTGCCTTTCTCTTGTTAATTTGTCTCTTCTTCCCTCATCTAGGACAGAAAGCATACAGGCACCTCCATCTCTGACACTGCTGTCCCTATGGGTTCGACTTCATGCTGAAAAGCCCCCCAGTCGTATCCCTCCCCCCCAGACACTAGTTTCAGTCAGGTTGGCAAGTGTCTCTCTCCCTCTTGTCTCTCCATCCCTTCTAACTTTTTTTCTCTTTTTAAAAAACAGCTTTCTGTGGTATTGGCACAAAAACAGACATGAACATCAATGGAACAAAGTAGAGGCCCAAGAAATAAACCCAAAAATATATAGCCAACTCATCTTTGACAAAGGGCACTAGTCAATCCAGTGGGAAAAGAAAAACCTCCTTAGCAAATGGTGCTGAAAAAACTGAGGATCCACTTGCAGAAAGATGAATCTGAACCCCTGTCACCATTAACAAAAATCAACTCAAAGTGGATCAAAAATCTGAACCTAAGACTGCAAACTATAAAACTACCAGAGGAAATCTCTGGGTAAACTCTGGGAGATATTGGGGTAGGCAAAGACTTCTTAAGCAAGACTCCCAAAGTACAAGCAATAATCCCCACATTAGATAGGTGGTATTACATCATATTAAGAAGTTTCTGCACAGCAAAGGACACCGTAATTAGTGTGACTCAGCAACTTTCAAAATGGGAGAGAATTTTTCCTAACTGTGCCTCAGATAAGGGACTGATAACCAGATTACACAGAGAACTCAAGCAGCTTACTCAGAAGAAAATGATTAATCCAGTTAAAAGATGGGAAAATAAGCTGAATAAACAACTCTCTAAGGAAGACATGTGAACAGCCAAAAATCATATAAAAAATGCTCAACATCCCTCATGGTAATAGAGATGCAGATCAAAACCACAATGAGATACCACCTAACCCCAGTCAGAATGGTGAAGATTAAAAAAACAAATAATGGTAAGTGCTCATGGGGATGTGGTGAAAGGGGAACACTGCTATATTGTTGGTAGAAATGTAAATTAGTCCAGTTACCATGGAAATGTATGGAGGTTTCTCAAAGACCTACAAATAGAACTACCATATGATCCAGCAATTCCACTCCTGGGTATCTACCCAAAGGACAGAATGCTCAGTCAAAAAAGCACGTGCACAACTATATTTATTGCAGCACTATTCATGATTGCTAAG